GTGAAGGTCACATGTGACCACCCCGGTACTAGGCTGCCCTATGACACTTCTATATCTATCCTGAGGTTTAGTTCTCTCATAGATGGCCCAGTGAAGGTTAGTGTCCAGATCTGGGGGGGCTCGTGAGATGAAGGTAAACATTTGGGCTTTGTTGACTGACCCCTTACATTGGTGGTCAGTCTTCGATTCCTCAGTATGAGATCTGCTATAACAGGTCCTGGGTGTGCCATGTAGAGCGTCCTACTCATCCCTTCCATGGAACTCTGAGGTTCCTTCTCAGCTTGCTGGGGGGTTCCTTTATTAATAAGCGATGACTCATGGATCTCCCACCTCTATTGGTCACCAATGTAAGGGGGCAATTTACTACTGACCACCAATGTAAGGGGGCAATTTACTACTGACCACCAATGTAATGGGGCAATTTACTACTGACCACCAATGTAATGGGGGCAATTTACTACTGACCACCAATGTAATGGGGCAATTTACTACTGACCACCAATGTAATGGGGCAATTTACTACTGACCACCAATGTAATGGGGCAATTTACTACTGACCACCAATGTAATGGGGCAATTTACTACTCACCACCAATGTAATGGGGCAATTTACTACTGACCACCAATGTAAGGGGGCAATTTACTACTGACCACCAATGTAAGGGGGTAATTTACTACTGACCACCAATGTAAGGGGGCAATTTACTACTGACCACCAATGTAAGGGGGCAATTTACTACTGACCACCAATGTAATGGGGCAATTTACAACTGACCACCAATGTAAGAGGTTACTTCCAGGGCTGGGATAAGGTCATTGACATGCCGAATTGCACCTCCCCCCCAAGATGTATGAGCATTAAGTGTCAGCACCCCCCCCCCCCCCTTCCAAAAAAAATAAAGAAATCAAGCACTGATCTGCATGTTCTCCCCCTAAGCATGTATTTCCCCTCACAGTACAAATCTGCCCCCCTTCTGAAGTCCTTCCTCCTACCACACACCTTTGCCCCCCCCCCCCCCAACCCCCAGCTCAAATCCTCTCTCTCCCCTCCAATTCCCCCTTCCAGTACAATTTCCCCCTCCCCCAATCCCAGCACAAACCCCCCTGCCCCCCCCCCCCCCTAAAAAAAAAAAAAATCCTCACCTAGCACAAATACTCCCCAATTGTCTCTACTAGCACAAATCCCCTCCCTCCCTCCCTGCCATATTACCTTTTCCAGCACAACACCCCCCCACCCCCCCACCCCCAAATCCACCCTCCTAGTACAAATCCTCTTCCCCCATAGCCCCTCCCAACACAAATCCCTGCAAATCACCACTCCCCAGATTTTCCCTCCTAGAACAAATCTTACCCCCAGCCCCTCCCAAAATTCCTCCTTCCAACACAAATCACCTCCTCCCAATCTCCTCATGGTGCCCCCACCTCACATGACACCACAGTTCCCAGGACAGTCGTCCCTCCTGCCCACCCCTTGTCCCGGCCCTGGTCACTTCTACATTTATTGCTGATTTTGGGGGTTACCACAATTTTAAGTGAATATGTCTCTTTTTTTTGTTATTTATATTAATTTCAGGATTATTAGTGAACATGTTGTCCTAGAAGAGGGTGGTCGTCCATGGGTGTCAGGTATTCTAGCCTTTCATAACCTGTCTACTCTGGAGGAACCCTTGAAATAAGAGAAGCTCTGCTACAAATGTCTAAATGTTGTGGTAAAGTAGTGTGACCACTAGGCCTTGGAATGTGTTAGACGTACCTAGAGGTTGTCACCTAGAGCTGACTACTGTCCAACGCTCCCTTTAAGTCGGGGTTGCTCAACCTTTTGAAGGACGAGGGCCATGTAAGTGGTTGCCGGTCGCTGGCCACAATGAAACCAAATGGTTCAAATTCAGAATTTAGAATTTTTTTATTTTGAATAGGTTAGTGAACATTCTTCTCCTACAGCCACTAAATGCTGGCGGGAGGGAGAGGAGGAGTAGCCAGATTTCAGTAGTTGCAGGAGGAAAATGGAGAGGATTGGTTCCTGTATATGACGTCCTCCTGTCCAAGTGCAAAGCAGAATTTGGCAGGAAGGCGGCACGGGCCCCTTGGAGCATGGGGCAGGGTCACCATTGCAACCCTTGACACTACACCAGTGGTTGGGAAAGTGTTAAAAATGCATCTCAACTATGGAGTTTCACCCCGCCCCCCCCCTCCCCCACAACCGCAATGGGCCCTCACTGTCCTGAGCCCCCTATAAGGCTTTGGTTTTCCTGTGGGTTAGTTGCACTTTGCCAAAGACTTCCAATAGATCTGGCGGGTGCGGCGCACTTTCTGAAAGCGCACCACAACTCTTGCTTTCAGTTTAAGGTCGAGGGCCACATCAGAGGGCTCCGCGGGCCACAGGTTCAGCACCCCATGTTTTAAGTCAATGATATTCATGAAAATAAATAAATAATAAAGGCCAGAGAAGAAACCAACACTGTGGAAATCGTAGTGTCCCCAACACTAGTCATCAATGGAAACGTTTCCGCTTCTATCAGTACTCAGTGGAGAGATTCCTCTTTACATGTGTGGCCCCTTGGCACCAAGGATCAGGGTAAAGGTGACCCCTTGCACTGAATATCAGTGGAAAATTGCCCCTCAGTGGGAGGTGGGAGATCAATCTGTCATTGCGCACTACCTAAGGATACCCTAGCAACCTTCAGAGGAACCTTGCTTGGGAAAAGATGCTGTAGGGCCCTGGTGCCCAACCTATGAGCCTGAGGGCTGCATGTGGCTCTCTAGTATATGATATGTGGCCCTCGGACCTCAGCAGTCTGTAGTGGGGACATTGATTGGGGTAATAGTATTGATCTCTACCAGCCTCATGTAACATCTCCCCAGTCTTGTATTGTCTTCTGCAGCCAGCAATGTCTCCTGTCCTCACTCTCTGACCCTCATGTCCTCTATTAGTTCTGCAGTCTCTGACACTCCTCTACAACATTCCATATATGGACTGTTGTGTGTGGCCCTCTGTTGATTTCAGAGGCCGCATTTGAGGCCCCCTTTAGCTCGTAAGTTGATGACCACTGCTCTACACAGACCTCATACTTTATTCTTTCATTAAAAACTTCAACAAACTATTGGTCAAGCGAATGTACCATGAACTGTTTTGTATAATACATTTTATCAGGGGGTTCCCAAGACTTGGAAATTATATCTAGGGTTTCCTCAGGGATAGGGGGGATAGCATTGATCTTCACGAGCCTCATGTCATATCTCCCCAGTTTCGTATTGTCTTCTGCAGCCAGCAATGTCTCCTGTCCTCACTCTCTGACCCTCATTTCCTCTATTAGCTCTGCAGTCTCTGACACTCCTCTACAGCATTCCATATACTGAACATTATTTGTGGCCCTATGATGATTTCAGAGGCCGCATTTGAGGCTCGTCAGTTGATGACCACTGCTCTACGTAGACCTCATTCTTTATTCTTTCATTTAAAACCTTCTACAACCTGTTGTCCAAGCGAATGCACCATGAACTGTTTTGTATTATAAATGTTATCAGGGGGTTCCCAAGACTTGGAAGTTATATCTAGGGTTTCCTCGGGGACCGGGGGGATAGCATTGATCTTCACGAGAGCCTCATGTAACATCTCCCCAGTCTTGTATTGTCTTCTGCAGCCACTTTCTGACCATTATTTCCTTTATTAGCTCTGCAGTCTCTGACACTCCTCTACAGCATTCCATATACTGAACATTATTTGTGGCCCTATGATGATTTCAGAGGCCGCATTTGAGGCTCGTCAGTTGATGACCACTGCTCTACACAGACCTCATACTTTATTCTTTCATTAAAACCGTCTACAACCTGTTTGTCCAAGCGAATGCACCATGAACTGTTTTGTATTATAAATTTTATCAGAGGGTTCCCAAGACTTGGAAATTATTTCTAGGGTTTCCTCTGGCGTGAAAAGTGTTGATAAAGAGGAAGAACATTGACTAGAGGAGATATTTGAACTTGTATTGATCAGATGGAGAGATAGTCAACCTTCAAATGAACGATCTCTCCATTGTGGAATTTTCATTTCTACCATCATAGAGAGGTCTCCTCGTGTTCGTTGGTGACCTCATGGAGATACTGATGGGACTTTGCTGTGGTGGAGGATCTTTGTAGTTCTGTAGCGTGAGTAGATGTGGAAAGATTCAGTGGCGCACAGTGAGGGCGTCCAGATCTTCCACGTTATTAAACTAAAGCCAACTGGTATCATTTCATAAATTGGCCAACCAGGCAAGAGTAGCGTTCATGAAGTCACTTCTTCCTTTGGAGACTTAAAGAGACGTCACTGAACTTTGCTTGAATTCTTTTATCTCCAGCAAAGTCACTGCGGCAACACTTCACATGCTGACCTGACCAACCAGCCAGTTCCGGGATTGGCGAGGCCCAGCAGAAACACCAACATAGAAGAGTGACAGAAGACTGTAATATTAGGGCCCCGTAGTCTCTCCTGATATTATTATTATTATTATACAGGATTTATAAAGCGCTGATAGTTGGCTCAGCGCTGTACATTACAGAGGGGGACAGAACATGTGACAGAACAATACCAATACAATGTGATACATGAGGGGGTCGAGGGCCCTGCTCCTTGGAGCTTGCAATCTAGGAGGGGGGGGGATGGTGGTACAGGAGGAGATAGCTGTGGGGGATGGGGTGGTAGGAAGAGTGGAGGAGGTCGGCAGGTTAGCAGGGGGTGGGGTAGGCTTCCCTGAAGAGATGGGTTTTCAGGGTGCGCCTAAAGGAGAGGAGAGTAGGTGATCATCTGATGGGTTGGGGCAGGGAGTTCCAGAGGATGGGTGACACCCTGGAGAAGTCCTGGAGGCGGGCATGGGAGGAGGAGACCAGGGAACTAGAGAGAAGGAGGTCTTGTGAGGAGCGGAGTGTGCGTGTTGGGTGGTACTTGGATATTAGGTCAGTGATGTAGTTCGGGGCAGTATGGTGGACGGCTTTGTACGTCAGTGTTAGGATTTTGAATTTGATCCGTTGCGCAATCGGAAGCCAGTGGAGGGATTGGTGGAGAGGGGTGGAGGACACTGAGTGGAAGCCAGTGGAGGGATTGGCAGAGAGGGGTGGAGGGCACTGAGTGGAGGCCAGTGGAGGGATTGGTAAAGGGGGGTGGAGGGCACTGAGTGGAGGCCAGTGGAGGGATTGGCAGAGGGGGGTGGAGGACACTGAGTGGAGGCCAGTGGAGGGATTGGCAGAGAGGGGTGGAGGACACTGAGTGGAGGCCAGTGGAGGGATTGGCAGAGAGGGGTGGAGGGCAGTGAGTGGAGGCCAGTGGAGGGATTGGCAGAGGGGGGTGGAGGACACTGAATGGAGGCCAGTGGAGTGATTGGTAAAGGGGGGTGGAGGACACTGAGTGGAGGCCAGTGGAGGGATTGGCAGAGAGGGGTGGAGGACACTGAGTGGAGGCCAGTGGAGGGATTGGCAGAGAGGGGTGGAGGACACTGAGTGGAGGCCAGTGGAGGGATTGGCAGAGGGGGGTGGAGGACACTGAGTGGAGGCCAGTGGAATGGATTGGCAGAGGGGGGTGGAGGACACTGAGTGGAGGCCAGTGGAGGGATTGGCAGAGAGGGGTGGAGGACACTGAGTGGAGGCCAGTGGAGGGATTGGCAGAGAGGGGTGGAGGGCAGTGAGTGGAGGCCAGTGGAGGGATTGGCAGAGGGGGGTGGAGGACACTGAATGGAGGCCAGTGGAGTGATTGGTAAAGGGGGGTGGAGGGCACTGAGTGGAGGCCAGTGGAGGGATTGGCAGAGGGGGGTGGAGGACACTGAGTGGAGGCCAGTGGAGGGATTGGCAGAGAGGGGTGGAGGACACTGAGTGGAGGCCAGTGGAGGGATTGGCAGAGGGGGGTGGAAGACACTGAGTGGAGGCCAGTGGAATGGATTGGCAGAGGGGGGTGGAGGACACTGAGTGGAGGCCAGTGGAGGGATTGGCAGAGAGGGGTGGAGGGCACTGAGTGGAAGCCAGTGGAGGGATTGGCAGAGAGGGGTGGAGGGCACTGAGTGGAGGCCAGTGGAGGGATTTGGTAAAGGGGGGTGGAGGGCACTGAGTGGAGGCCAGTGGAGGGATTGGCAGAGGGGGGTGGAGGACACTGAGTGGAGGCCAGTGGAGGGATTGGCAGAGAGGGGTGGAGGACACTGAGTGGAGGCCAGTGGAGGGATTGGTAAAGGGGGGTGGAGGGCACTGAGTGGAGGCCAGTGGAGGGATTGGCAGAGGGGGGGGTGGAGGACACTGAGTGGAGGCCAGTGGAATGGATTGGCAGAGGGGGGTGGAGGACACTGAGTGGAGGCCAGTGGAATGATTGGCAGAGGGGGGTGGAGGACACTGAGTGGAGGCCAGTGGAGGGATTGGCAGAGGGGGGTGGAGGGCACTGAGTGGAGGCCAGTGGAATGGATTGAAAGAGGGGGGCGGAGGACACTGAGTGGAGGCCAGTGGAGGGATTGGCAGAGGGGGGTGGAGGACACTGAGTGGAGGCCAGTGGAGGGATTGGCAGAGGGGGGTGGAGGGCACTGAGTGGAGGCCAGTGGAGGGATTGGCAGAGGGGGGTGGAGGGCACTGAGTGGAGGCCAGTGGAATGGATTGGCAGAGGGGGGCGGAGGACACTGAGTGGAGGCCAGTGGAGGGATTGGCAGAGGGGGGTGGCGGAGATGGAACGGTTGGAAAGGTGAATGAGTCTGGCAGCCGTGTTCAGGATGGACTGAAGAGAGGATAGCCAGCGGTGAGGCAGGCCAGTGAGGAGGGAGTTGCAGTAGTCCAGTCGTGATATGATGAGGGAGTGGATGAGCTGTTTAGTGGTTTCTGGGGTTAGGAATGTGCGGATTTTGGTGATGTTGCGGAGGCGGAGTCTGCATGTTGCGGAGGCGGAGTCTGCATGTTGCGGAGGCGGAGTCTGCATGTTGCGGAGGCGGAGTCGCACGAGGCTGTTAAAGATTGGACTTGGGGCTGGAAGGATAGGTTGGAGTCCAGAATGACACCCAGTACTCTGGCCTGCGGGGCGGGTGTGATGGTGGCGTTGTTGGATGTGATGGATGTTTTATCCCTTTTGCAAATGTGCAATTCCCTAAGACTTTTGCAGCAAATGACTCATGCGGTAGAATATTGGTCATGAACGCATATTTTCACGCGGTAATTTATGGAACGTCCTTGTGTCGAAGGTCATTTCCGTTGGGCGGAGCCAGGGGGTATATCATATCCCCGGGCCCTGGTGGAGAGACAAACCGCTCAGATAGAGAAGCCCAATGTACCGGTCCGCGGTAAGCCGTTAAGGTCAATTAAAAAATGGAACAGGAAGTAGAAAAACTTAGATATTTCTCACCTGGGTTTTGCTTGGAACTAACACCCTGGAATGGCAAGGCGCTCCCCTCCTCCTCCCCCCTCCCCCTTCCTCCAAGCTAACAGACTGGCTGGAGACTGCACTGTCCACTATCAGCTCTTTCCTGTGAAGGCCGAACGTTCAGGGAAGCAGCACTGAGAGAGCAGGGGTCAGCGGCATTGAAAGCTGTAAACTGCAAGCGCTGGCATAAGGATTTTATAAGATACCTTCCTGGGGAATGATTATTGTTTTGTGCTCCGTTACTGAAGGTTTATTACTTTCCTGATGAAGGAGGTGGAAGTATAACTCCCAAAACACGCCGAAAACAATGCGTCTTCCGAACAAAGTCGTGTCCGGACTTAAATATCACAGTGCGGCGCTCATCCCACATTTATATGGTTGTCTGGGTCAGAGCAGGAAGTCATGGAATATCTCCCCAATGGGGACTCCCAACAAAATCACATTTCAGTAGAGTAGGGAGGAGGCTTCCTGTCCTGATGACAATCATAACCCCAATTCTTGTATGGTTGTCACCGAAACAGGAAGTGAGGGAAGCATGCCTTCTTGTCCCATTGACAGCCATAGCCCCAATTCTTGTACTGTTGTCATTCGAACAGGAAGTGAGAGAAGCATTCCTTCTTGTCCCATTGACAGCCATAGCCCCAATTCTTGTACTGTTGTCATTGGAACAGGAAGTCAGAGAAGCGTGCCTTCTTGTCAATTTGACAATCATAACCCCAAATCATGTATGGTTATCATTGGAAAAGGAAGTGATGGAAAATCTCCCCAATGGGGACTCAGGCAAAATCACATTTTAGTAGAGTAGGGAGCAGGTTTATATTGATCCCTGTGCCTTCCTGTCCTGATGACAACCATAACCCCAATTCTTGTATGGTTGTCACCGGAACAGGAAATGAGGGAAGCGTGGCTTCCTGTCCCATTGACAGCCATAGCCCCAATTCTTGTATGGTTGTCACCGGAACAGGAAGTGAGGGAAGCATGTCTTCTTGTCCCATTGACAGCCATAGCCCCAATTCTTGTACTGTTGTCATTGGAACAGGAAGTGAGAGAAGCATGTCTTCTTGTCAATTTGACAATCATAGCCCCAAATCATGTATGGTTGTCATTGGAACAGGAAGTGATGGAAAATCTCCCCAATGGGGACTCAGACAAAATCACATTTCAGTAGAGTAGGGAGGAGATTTATATTGATCCCTGTGCCTTCCTGTCCTGATGGCAACCATAACCCCAATGCTTGTATGGTTGTCACAGAACAGGAAGTGATGGAAGCGTGCCTTCTTGTCCAATTGACAACCATAACCTCAAATCTTGTATGGTTGTCACCGGAACAGGAAGTGAGGAAAGCGTGCTATCCTGTCCCAATGACAACCATATCCCCTATTTCTTGTATGGATGTCACCAGAACAAGAAGTGAGGGAAAATCTCCCCAATGGGGACTCAGACAAAATCACATTTCAGTAGAGTAGGGAGGAGGTTTTATATTGATGCCTGTGCCTTCCTGTCCTGATGACAACCATAACCCCAATGCTTGTATGGTTGTCACAGAACAGGAAGTGAGGGAAGCGTGTCTTCCTGTCCCATTGACAACCATAACCTCAAATCTTGTATGGTTGTCACCAGAACAGGAAGTGATGGAAAATCTCCCCACATACAGAAATACTGTCGGAGATGTGAACTCCTTTCCTCTCCATCCCATACTAAAGACGGGTGGGGTGGTAGATGTGTGGTGGAGCGGAGGATGTGATTGTGGGGTGGATGGTGGTCCGGGGGACACGGCGATGGGGGATTAGCCGTCTTGGCAGCGCCAGTGTTTGGACGGGAGATGGGCTCCTTACTGCTTGACTTGAAATGGAAGCTTGTAATGTGGTTACTTCAGGCTGAGCGGTCCTGAATGGAGGGGACATCTGTGTTCTGTGCGCAGCCCCTCGCTCCTTCCGCCCTGCAAATATCATCATTGTACGCCGCCGGCTAGAAATACAACGCGCTGTCCACGGGGGCCGCCTGAGGGGAAGATACCCCGGGTACCCCTCCCCCATTGACCCAACAGTCCCCTCAGCAAAGAAGTCGTCTTCTGTCTCTTTAAATCTTTCATTAAAATAATTCCTGGAGATCCCGCCATGGAGGTCCTTGTTCATGACCCTTCCTGTTTGAGGGTGACAACGCCCTGCCCCTGTCTCCCAATTGTGCTCCTGTGTTGTCGCCCTGTCACTCAAGGCCGTCTTAATGGCATCGTGGGCCCCTGGGCAAAGTAATGCACTGGGGCCCCTACCAGTCTGCCCCAATTTACATAACGACTCTCAAGAACTAATGTAGAAATAGTTGATAGAATGAGACATATATTTATTAGGACTTTAGGAAAATAGATTTTAAACAATAAAAAAAATGCGCCAAAAGTCAGAAACTAATCAACACAAAGGAACAATACTGGGATCAGGAGGGCACAGTACTGGGATCAGGAGGGCACAGCACAGGGGGAGTCAAAGGGGCACAGTACTAGGATCAAGAGGAAACAGTACTGGGATTAGGAGGGCACAGTACTGGGATCAGGAGGACACAGTACAGGGGGAGTCAAAGGGGCACAGTACTAGGATCAAGAGGAAACAGTACTGGGATTAGGAGGGCACAGTACTGGGATCAGGAGGGCACAGTACTGGGATCAGGAGGGCACAGCACAGGGGGAGTCGGGGGCACAATACTGGGATCAGGAGGGCACAGTACAGGAATCAGGAGGGCACAGCACAGGGGGAGTCAGGGGGGCACGGTACTGGGATCAGGAGGACACAGTACAGGGGGAGTCGGGGGCACAATACTGGGATCAGGAGGACACAGTACAGGGGGAGTCAGGGGGGCACGGTACTGGGATCAGGAGGGCACAGTACAGGGGGAGTCAGGGGGGCACGGTACTGGGATCAGGAGGGCACAGTACAGGGGGAGTCAGGGGGGGCACGGTACTGGGATCAGGAGGGCACAGTACAGGGGGAGTCAAAGGGGCACAGTACTGGGATCAGGAGGGCACAGTACAGGGGGAGTCAAAGGGGCACAGTACTAGGATCAGGAGGAAACAGTACTGGGATCAGGAGGGCACGATACTGGGATCAGGAGGGCACGATACTGGGATCAGGAGGGCACAAGGGCATGATACTGGGATCAGGAGGGCACAATACTGGGATCAGGAGGGCACAATACTGGGATCAGGAGGACATGATACTGGGATCAGGAGGGCACGATACCGAGATCTGAGAACAGGAGGACACGATACTGGGATCGGGAGGACACAATACTGGGATCAGGAGGACACTGGGATCAGGAGACAGAAAGGTGCGATGCTGGGATCAGGAGGGCACAATACTGGGATCAGGAGGACATGATACTGGGATCAGGAGAGCACTATACTGGGATCAGGAGGACATGATACTGGGATCAGGAGAGCACTATACTGGGATCAGGAGGACATGATACTGGGATCAGGAGAGCACTATACTGGGATCAGGAGGACACTATACTGGGATCAGGAGGGCACTATACTGGAATCAGGAGGACACTGGGATCAGGAGGCACAAGGGCACGATACTGAGATCAGGAGAGCACGATACTGGGATCAGGAGGGCAAAATACTTTGGACAGGAGGGCACAATACATGGATCAGGAGGGC